ACACTCGCTATCGCATTCATTGATTTCACATTACAGCCCAGTGGTAGTATAAGGCGCCTCTACAGTAAATCTATTCGCCATGGTAACAGCCCGACTCGTACCAATCAAAAAATCCTATAATATAGCTTGACAAATGCAATAACTTCGATGATAAACAATGCCTTATTTTTAGGGCAACAAGGCGTTACATTTGATATCAACTCAATGCATATAGAGTGAGCTTTGTTTTGTAGAGACTTTGGAGAAAATGAGGATCGTCTACCGTTCCGTTTTAAAATAGGATTACTTAAGGCTTTACCATTATACCTCTCCCAAATGGTCTGGCCCTTGGCGAGAAGTCAGCAGCACCAACTCTTTCTGCGTGTTGCCAGTAAAAGGCTGTCGGAGTATTATGTCTTCCTTTTTACTCGGGAAGGTTTTGAGGTGCTATATTGGTGGCTGCAGAGAGCAAATCAGGTCTGAGAGGAAAACAGTGCTGAGTACTAGGCCGTGGCGGGATATATGAAGGGCATACGTTGTGGATGAGAAAATCTGTGATGTCACCTAAGAGGGGTTTCAAATTGATATCTTTTGTTGGAAAGCACCCCACTTCTGTCGTCTACATTAGTGTTCAAAAATCTAGAAATGTGTATTACAGGGCTACCCACCATACCAGTGTGGAGATACTAATTAGTTGAGTATAACTCCACCACTTCTCTATTTGAGGATGAAACCCAGATAGATGTGGCTGGACAGAAATAAAGTGAGAAAATGTCGAACGAAGTAATAAACACGAAACCTTATTCCCAAGGAATGATGTTAAACTCCGACCTTTGTTGTAAGAATCTGCTTTTAGGCCAGTGCTCTTACGACTAGCAATGGTGGACGTGGTGACCAGCTTATTCCTTTTAACTCCTAGTTGAGTTTCCAAATGAATGTAGCTTCTGACCCAGTAGAACTACCAAGAGGGGTGAGTGACGTTGCAGTTGGATATTTTTTATTTGCGTGCATATTGTATGATTAGCACGTTTGGCTTGTTGGTGTTTCCTTACAACACCAATTGTGTTGTAATAGCTAAAGATTAATGTTTAGCATGAGGTGGGCTGGGAGCAAGGCTCAAAAAATTGGAGAGGCTACGCAATGCTACAATTATTAGTGTAATTCTTGGCTTCGGGAATAGGGCAAATAGAATCTCCATCTGTGTATCTCCTCAGAGCAATCTGAACTTCGGGCCGTAACAGTGGACCTTAAGCCCCTCCGTAAGTCAATAATACAAAATCTTCTGCGATTATTGTAGCAATCTTCGTCTCTAGGATAATCTGCAGGTGCTGCAAAGCCAAATCCTACTTTAATAACAAAAATAGGCGGTTATAAATACTTAGAAAAATTTTCAATTTTTATTGTTAATCGCTTTTTGTTACAAAATCACCGTAAATTAAGTAAAGAATTAAAAGTCCTTTCGGGAATAAACTATACCAACCTAATTATTTTACATTTGTGTAGGGCCTCGACACTTCCCGGAAAATGAAAGTAAACATAATATTTTGACGGAATATATATAGATATATAGTTGTGCATGGGGCTACTGGGAAGGCCCCGTTGAAGGTACGATGACATGGGAGATTAATTAAAGCAATTCTAGTAAGGAAAACCTGTGGGTTTCTTGTAACACGCTGATTGCCTGTTTAACACTTGGTGTTGATAAAGTATCACATTGAGTCATGGCCATTGAGTTTTTTCTAGGTAGGCTGCCCTCCAAGCCATGGCAGTAGCCCTAACCCCCTCTGCTTGTCAAATACATATGATCTGCTTAAGTTTCGTATCTTCATTTTCCTTTAGAAAAGTCTCTGAGTATTACAGCATAACAATTGCACTAATTAAGTAAATGAAAAAACAACCACTTTTTGCAAGCTAGAGTGCCTGTTTTTAGTTGAATAAAGGATAAATGTCATTTAAACATACTAACAGGCTATTAATCTGCTCATGCTGAATACGAATTGGATTTTCTAATTTGAACAGGACTGGCTGATCATATTCTGTTATTAACAGGTATTATCACATATCACTCACTTTGACAGCATGCAAAAAATGTTTGGGATTTTTCAAATAATTCATTTAACTACCTGCTTATATCTACCCAAAGCATTTGTAGAAATTCCATCTCAATCTTCTAAGTGATACTGACTTCTAAAAACATTTTTAAGATAGCTTGTGGCAAACTTTTACTAAAAAGTATTATTATTTTTAAAGTTGTCTTTTATAAGTTTGTTAATTAAAATCAAAACTCGTGTTTTAATTTTAATTTACTATCCATCATCCTACTCAACAGCGCGCTTTTGGTGATGCGGCTTCAATTGAAAACCCAAGAAGATTTTCACCATATCCTTTTGTTTGAAAAATATTTTAAAAAAGCCTTTTACGATTGGTAAATCGTGTAATAAAATAAACTTGCAGCACATAACGATGGCGAAATCCTAATATACTAAACCTAATTAAGCTTGAATTTCGGAGAGGCCAGCCGGGGGGTGGTTCTGTCGCCCAGACCCTGCTTTGTGATGTGTATCTAGTTTAAATAAAATGTTTGTTTTGCTTTTCGCATTTTTGGTACATGGCTCTGCATCCGACCACCCTAAAGTATTTCCAGTTGGACTTTGTTGGGCCCCTTCTTTCATATGTATTTGCTTGCATAGGAAATAAGTTTGCTTTGTGTCCTTGTGTTTATTACTAGCAATGGCCTAGACGCTTCTAAATTACCAACCTTTTACACTAAATCTTGCTGTATATTTCAGGAGAGAGTGCATCCTGTTAGCTGCATACTTAAAATGTGGCACAAAATCTTTCCAAATGCGTTAAAATTATGAGTAAAAATGGGATCTATGTTTATGTATATAAGTCTTGATTTAGAAACGCCATGCCATAAGCAGGTTATGCATGATAAACTGATCAAGCCCTATTATTCCTCTGAAAAACTGACTTTTATGACTTTTCAGTGACTTCATACCTGTGATTTTTTTGTAAATTTACAGGAGTAAACGAAGTCCGTTGAACGTGTTTGGGTAAAATCCTCATTATTGTTGAGTTATTTTCCTGTCGCGTGGCTAGTTATAGTGACTGTCCCCGTTCTGTGCCCTGCTCCTTTTTGACTAGTTCATATTCCAAACTTTGGTTTTTCTTCGTGCAGTTTCTGGTAATCTTGGGCAATTTTGAACAAGGCTTAAACTCACAAATTGGCTATCAATTTGCAACATTTTAAGCAGTTAATCACTTAAATTTGCCTTTTTACAATTTACATGGCTGAGTAAGTAATAAAGTGCTCGTTGACATATATTTATACCAGTATTAAATATTGATGTCCATTGTGTACATTTCTAGCTTCAAGATTATTAACAAACTCACCGCCATTCCTTAATGTTTGGCCAAGGATCCGGCATCTGTATTACATTAGTTGCCCTTAATGCAAATTCTCTCTGCCTTTTAATATTACCGCCTTACGTCCCTTTTATAATTTTTTTAACTTTTTATCCCTAAGAACCGGATGGTTTTATTATTTATTGCAGCGAGTCTAATAAACTCGTAAGTCCAATTTGAGTAACAGCAGTGTTTCCTCAACAGTTGCATTTATACATAATTCCACAGCAGCTTGTGTTGTGTGGATTTCAAATGATGAGGTGATTTCAGCTGGTGATGACCATGAAATGAAACTGTGGCGCCTTAGTAAGAAGCAGCACTCGACCTTGCTCACTCTTCCCGAAAGCCTCTTTCCTGTAGCCATAGCAGCATGTCCACCCAAGTTGGTTGCAGCAGGCCTGAATAAAAGTGCCGCTATCAATACCTTTGCAGTTTCATCTACTGATGGTTTGTTTTCTTTCACTAAAATCCTGACACCATAATGTTGGATCACAGGGTACTTTCACCTAGTCAACAAGAGCGGTCGAGTTGAGAAAAGTGTTGAGGCACATCGAGGTGCCGTCTTAGGTCTCAGGTGGAGTTATAATGGCGACTCTTTTGCAACCTGTAAGGCAAATCCCTCTGATTGTCTTGCATAGGTGGTGAAGATGGACAGGTAAAGGTCTGGTCTCGCAGCGGCATGCTGCGTTTGACACTAGTTCAGAAGAGTGAGTTCGAAGTTTTTGAAGTTTTAATTGTGAAAATCCTTAAGATCTATCTGTTTATGCCTTGGCGTGGGGGCCCAAGTCAGAGCAGATTGTTCATACATCTGGGAAACAATTGACGATCAGAACTATTCGATCGAACGCAACATCACTTACGGTATGTTAATTCGGCAAAAATGGTTTCACTATATCCATTCCTCTTCTTATACAGTATTTCATGTTGATTCGATTTAGTGGACGGCACATGATGGACTTATCTTGAAGGTTGACTGGAATCCAATCAATGATTTGCTCATATCTGGTGGCGAGGATTGCAAATATAAGGTGTGGGATAGTTTTGGTCGCCTTCTTTTTTCAAGCCAAGTGCACAATTATCCTATCTGCTCATTGGCGTGGAAGCCCACTGGCGATCAGTTTGCCGTTGGTAGCTACAACTTTCTTCAGCTGTGTGACAAACTTGGTGTGAGTTAAGTTTGGCTATACCGATAGTTTTTTTCACAGTAAAGCTGTGTCTATAGGTTTAATAATTTCAAATTTGTTTTCAATTTTTTAAATCTAGAAGATTTAGTGGTCTCACTCATTTGCTATGCAATTCTGCAGCAGTATTTATTGTTTTGATCCGATTTGCCGAATTTAAGCACAATTTGATGCACAACTCTTTTCATTCCCGATTAGAAGCCTCATTCTACCTCATTTGCATTAATACCGAACCGAAATGGAAATAATTGATTAACGGAAGCTACCTTTGGAGAGTGCAACATTTATGATAAACGTGATAGCTAATTCTCTTCTGTTTGTAACGACACCACACAGTGGTCACAGAATGTCCAGAAGCCGAAGACGGGAAGCCTTCTTGACTTGGCCTGGTCTCCAAACGGAGCAAACTTAGCCGCTGCAAGTGGCAATGGTAGCGTGATTTTCGCGCACCCTGTTGGCTGTCGTTTAGAGTGGGCCGGATTCGAGGTGGTGCTCACCGACATCAGCTCAATCACGGTCACAAAAGTCTGCGACGACTCTGTTGAAAGTCTGCAGTTCTGTCAGCCGGTGCTCCACTTCTCCTTGGCATATGGGCACCTTACCGCGCTAACTATAAATCAGTGCTACATTTACAGGTGAATATTATTACTCTACTGAGCGATTTTCCACTAGTATTGGGAACTATTTATAGACTATTAATGCGCCTAGAGGGCTTTGAAAAGAGCTTTATTAGTCTAAGACCGGTGGAATCCTTAACTCGTCTTACCGTGAGTCTTTTGCATCCAGTGGCGCACATTTAAAGTGGGATCATCTTAAATCTGAGGCCTAGACTAGCATTTATTCATTTCTTTACTGAACCATTAAAATGTTTGCTCAATAGTGTTAAGAACTTCAATACTCCCGTGATTGTGGACCTGAAGGATGCTATTATTTCGATAATCGTTCAATCACAAGAGTAAGTTGAAATTTTTCAGATTAAAGCGAAAGAATCTAGCAGTTTTCTGGTAGCTGGAATAATATGTAATCTAGAGACGCAAGTAGCATACTTACGAGATAATTTAATCAAAATAGAAAGCATTACTTAGATTGCTCGTTGCTAAGTAATAATGGCAGTTTTTTGACCCATCTGTAAATATCCAAATACTGCGTTCGATCTGTTGAGTTTAATTACTTTACTTCTGGTAAGGTCGGAAAACCTTGCCCCAAATAACAATGAAACACGCTTGTGAACTTTACTGCAGCCTTCAAATTTCTAAACACCTCGGTAATCTTTGTCTTTACGGAACTAGATAAAGTAGTATTTACATATTTTGACAACGAATATCCAGTCGAGTATCATACTAGCAAACACCTATATAGGCAGTGGCTCCGTTTACCACTGCGTTAAAATGGACAACTGTTCGATGGCTGGATCAAATGATACCCTCAACACAGGGCTCAAATTGCTAAACAACCATGAAACACTCCAACATGTAAAACTGGCTTAAGCCTCGCTTTGTTAGTGTTTTTATGCTGGTCGACTGGGGCACCTTGCTCATCTATAACTACAGTGGACGACTCATCTCCTCCGTGAAGAATGCTTCCGTGCGGACTGACTTCGTCTATCCTGGATGCATTGCCCTCAGCAGCGACACAATTGCCACAAAGGATTCGGAGGACGAAAAAGGTACAAATTGCATTCCTATCGTTTAATATTTCCATTACATGTGTATAACTTGATTTTTTTGGTTTCATAAATGCCAAACACCAAAAATCTGTGCAGCAATACACCTGTTCGAAGCGAATTCCGGGAAGCCAGTTGGTGATGGGAAACCTATAATCCATGCAGTAAGTCACATTCCAACACCTCAAAAGAGATGTCTGTTGGTTATCGTTAGTGCTAACAAAAGTAAAGGTTTCAATCTAGATTTTCCTGTGTTGGTTTTGCACCTTGATTTCCGTGTTTATGTATCCCGCTAACCTTGGAATCTTCTCCATGTACAGCAATTAGCAGATCTTACTGTATGAATAATGCCGTATTTAGTCTTTGCTAATGCACTCCGATAAGTGCTAACGAAATACTTCATTCGTTTCATAATAAGTATTCTTCAGTTGCCGCTTCACCAAATAGATCAGTAAATGTGTCGCCCGGGTGCGATGAGACGCAACGGTCTTATGAAACACTGGGTAAATGTAGTTGGAAACGAATCAGATTTGTGAGCACTTTAAACCGCCTACATGCAGGCTGATGTCATGACACTGGGATTGAATCAGAAGGAATCTGTAGCAGAACGGCGCCTTGCTATTCTTGACAGAAACAAGGATCTCTTTATTTACCAAGTACGTGTTTACGGTCGCAGCAGACCAATGATTAAATTGGGTAAGCTGGTTTCTCACCCATTGCGCCGGACTTTACCCAGCAAATCACAGTCCGTGTTTCTGCTGCAGGAAGCGTGGTCTCAGCATTCATGTGGTCTGGGACTCAAAACTTCCTCGCCGCGATCAAGAATGAAAAACTCACTATTTGGTACTACCCAACAGTCTCCTTCGTGGACAAAGAGCTCCTCGACCTCACTGTGGAGGAAAAGAATGTGGTGTAAGTGGAGTAATACGGAACAATACTGATTTGAGGTGATGAGACTCAGTTACGAATGGAAGAATCTCACGTCCTATTAAGCTGCTATATACAGAATGCCAAACCTCATCGCTCCCACCTGGAATCAAGAGGGCAGCTTACCCATCAGACGGCCCTATTTACTTCCAAAACTCGCTGTCAATAGAGTATTGGACAGAGACGCGGTCATTTATAATTCATTTACCCATTGAGTCTAGGAGCTCTGGAATAACCTCTTTCACGCCCTCTTTGTAGGGAAGGTGGTGGAAAATACTGCACATTGAATGGCTTTAACGATAACCATGTGACCATTCGCCGACCAGAGGGCACCATAGTGGCTTCTTCCATCTCACCCTACCCGGCTCTGCTTTACGCTCTCACGTCCAAAAACAAGTGGACTCAAGGTACACAGCTTTGCCGTAACGCAAAGGTTAGTTTTAACTTACTTTGTTGAATTTGAAGGACCCCTTGTTGTGGGCCTGTCTTGCTGGCTTGGCTATGGCGACGCGGAGATTGGACCTTGTTGAGGATGCTTATGCGGCACTCAATAAGGTAATGCCGAGTGCTGGTTACTACTCTCATCATTAAGGCGGATAAAGTCGAGCATATAAAAAGCATACGGGAAATGGCTTCGAAAGAGGCTCAAAGTGCACAGACACTTCTTCTTGCGGGTAAGCATCATAGAACTACCTCATTCATTTACTCTCATAACACCTAGGACAACCAAAGGAAGCTGAACGAACACTTTTACAAGCAGGCCTTCAATTCAGTGCGGTGATGCTCAATCTTGCGCAATTTAAATGGGAAAGGTGAGTACTATAGCAATCGACCTCAGCACTTTAAATTATCGTTTTCATTTAGGGCCCTGGAGCTAGCTAACAAAAATGAGTTATCAATAGCTATTGTGCTGTCAGCACGACACCATTATCTCTCCAAAATAGGGCGACCAGAAAACATCCAGTCCTTCCTGAACAGCCAACATCAGGTAAAATCCCCAAACAGATTATTTAGACTTACTACAAACAGATTTGGACACCGCGCTCAAGAGCTTAGTCCGTTATACTTAATATTAGCATGTCCTGCATTAGAAAAGAATGCATTAGTTTCCGGTGTAAACGAACCGGCGGCAAAAAAAATACAATTTAGGTTATCACGGCATTACTCGCCATGGCGCGCTTTCGCTATTTATGATTCATCAATCGCCTAAAATTAACTCTTAACGGTTATAGAAGATAATGGATGAAGAAACATTGAAAAGAACTGTCGAGGAGGGATATCAAAGAGAGGCCACTCGCAAAACATGAATTCCAAGAGCCGTTTTAAATTGTCAACGTTTATTTGTTTTCTATCATTCACAATAAATTCATTGGATGGAAATGAACATCGTAAAAGACGGCAACAAGTCACAAAGTAGTAACCGGGAGGAGTGAAATCACTTAATAATACGCAATAGTGTAAACACGCATTCGATTGGCATATGCATAAGCATCTACAAGCTGACAAGTCTGAAATCAAGTAAAAACCAATATTCTAATGCTTACCAGACTATACAAAGATATGTACGAAACAATTTCAGCATCCAGTAATAACTCTGGAGCACGAAAACCATATCTGTTCATTGTCAGTTGTAAATACTTCCTCCACACGCATACCGCTTTCTTCATCAGTTGCGACGTCCGAACCACCAGGGTAAAGATCCATCGTATCCTCAGTTGATAACACATTTAAAACATGAATGGATCCTATGGGTGGGTTGAAGCTCAGTTTTGGAACAAAATCATCGTAGCGAAACCGTCTATCCGTTTTGAAGTACACATGAAGTCGTGTGGGTGGCGTGGGTTCAAATATAGCATTAAAATATGGACTTTCCATAAGACCCTTGAAAAAACCTTGGAACCGTTGCTCCTCTGGGGACCCGATATCATCTTCAGGCGCAAAATTGCAATTACGAAAGTTCAACAAGACCATGCGTAATGGTTTTTGAACATTTGGGCCCAGTATGAAGAGGAACTGCTCAATCGGAAATGTAGAAAGGCTGCAAAGCTCCATTTCAAGCAATAACACAGAATTAATGGACGACTGTAGCTTCCTAGTCGACATTAATAACTTAGAAATAATATAAGGCAAAATAGACTCACAGAAGCAGTGCTTTTGCTAACGTCGTCTTTGTTGCTCAGCAGTCTGAAGTCAGGAAACTGTCCAGTGTTGTAGAGGAAGAAATGTAAGAACTTTATCATAAGAAGAGTCTTCTGGGATGACGACAGAACTGACTGCCCAATCAGCAAATCTGAAACCGACATTACACACCGCGCACCTAAGCCCAGTTCATGTCCAAACGACCGCTGAATGCTACTAATTACATAAAACGAGCAATTAGAACAAAGCGAAAAGTAATTTGGAAGCTTAACGTCCACTACAGTATAAGATTTTAAAGCATTCTGGGTAACTTACTTCTCGTTACAAATATGAGAGATGCTCTAATGGATTTATTTAAATGGACGAGTTCCTCTGATCTTGCATTATTCTTATTTCTGATTGTACTGCAACCGCACATTTTATAATTTATTTTACGGACTCCATACTCCTCACTTCCTCCTTTCGTTACGTATCCATTAAGCGAGAAAGTCGGCCAGAGGTGGGTATCTCATGTTTAAGAATTATGAAATTTGCAGGATAATAATATTTAAGTGGAATTGTAATTTATTCTTTTACCAAGGGTTCATAACGCGCATTCACTCGCTTATTCATTGTAAACCGACCGCGTAACCCCTCCCTCCCATTCCGAATGCCACTGCCGTCTAAGAAACGTTCAAAAATTCACGACGACACTGAGCGATGTGCCTACCACGGCACCCACTCCGAATCGCGATTATCCATACGAAGAGCACCTCTCATCCAAGGCATCGGTTTAGAGCAAAGAGTCCTCACCACACCGACTCTCTAGTAACGCCTTGGTACGCCAAGCAAACTACAATAAATGGATAAAATAAAGAATATGGGCAAACGAATATTGATTGCTGGGTACATCACAAGGGCGACAATCGCCGTCATGTCCCCACTCTCTTCACTTGATCCGTTGGGAACTGCGGGATTGCAACAAGGTGCAAGAGCCAGGACCCACACATTGTCAGAGCCCAACACGAGGATATGCGAATATGCATGTATGTGTATATGCACGGATGAGTACACTTTGGCAGATATGCGAACAAAAATGGCGTTAGATCAAGAGAAAGAATGGGGGGAACGCGCTGGTGGTAAGAGGACAAAACTGGAGAGAAAGGGAGAGCTTTAGTCCAATACCATCTAATCTTGGGGGGTAAAAGGAGTCAGCTTATCGTGATTGCATTAGCATGGGAACCTGAAGAGAGGAAGCCGGTGGAAGGGAGTTGTGAAGAAAAGCACCACAGTCGGGATGCTGAAAAGGACGAGTGAGGAAATGCTTTTCCAGATCACTCTTGTAGATTGGATGCCTGCGGTAATTATCTATCAGCGTGTCCACACTGGAGAAGACCTTCTGGCCGATATAAAATTCACCGTTTTTAACATGCACCTTGAAGTTTCGATTCTTCGATCCCGCATTCATCGTAATTGTCAAGTCACCGGGCTAAAATAATTAAAAAGTGCAAGACAGTGACTGTGTAATTTGAGGGAAAACATTCAAATAGATTATTAGCAAGCTGCAGAATATATAGGGAGTAGCAAGTAAGAATCCACCCTTGTTTAACTGCCATTAGGCATAGATAGTGTTGTTAATAATAAAATCCAATGATTGAGGAAACCGCGGATTGAGTCGGAAGTTTTTTGCTCTAATTTACACTTACGCGGAAATCTAGTACATTCTCTGAATCGCGTACTATCACAAAAAGTAGAGTTAGTAAATAATCACCGACAAGCCTAAATTATGCAGCACAAAACGCAAACTTTTCTCCACCATTGATTAGTCCACTTGTGCAAATGAGGTTTGAAAAGAGGGGTAATGACCTCAAACATCTACGGCAGTTTAAAAGTTTGTACTGGGTCAGAAATATGAGCATGGTGACGCCCTGTTGGCAGTAAGAGGCGCGAACAAGCACGGTGGCGTGTGTGTACATGTACGCACCGACCGTGCGCAGGACTCAACGGGCCTGCTGCAGCTCTTGATCGGTTAATTATGCATACCAGATAGGAAGTAGGCTAGTTCACAGCCACATCACCACCTCTTTCGATCCAGAGAAAGCAATTACCATGTTTGCTAAAAAAATTTCACTTTTGAGGGAAAAAATTGTATTTCGACTGACGATTATAGCAAAAAACAGAAAATAGTGAATTACTTACGAGGTCACACCAAGCCAATATGAGGTCAGGTCGTAAAAGATACTTGGTTAATGATCAGGAGTGAGTAATAAAACCCGCTGAGCAGATAACTGAAAACCTGCAAACCGCCCAATGAAAGGGGTCAAGAGGTAGACGCTACAATTATACCAATGGGATTTCAAGAACCCTTCAAAAGTACACGAATCGAATAAGCGTTCAGCAATCTTGGAAAATTCTTCCTATTGGCTGGTCATATATGCCTTAATCACAAAAACTGAAACTGGACAAACTGAAAAACAATGAGAGCAGACTGTTCATGGGGAAGTAAACTTTTCGAACCCCCGCCCTCTAAAATGATGACGACTAAGAGGACTGCGAATCTGACGAACGAAAAGTGAACCTTTATTGCAAAGTCTTTCAGAGGGCTGTGACGTCAAACTCCGCGCACTGCCCATTATTAAGCGCAGGCCACGGTGGTAGTTTGTGCCCGCCAATTTTGTCCAGGAAGGAGGAGGATGTGGAGAGAATATCATAGGGTCAATGAGAGGTGATACCGGAGGAAACGCGCTCAACTTTGGATAATTCCAACAACACCAGAATGGATGAAGTCAACATGGATGTCTTTGGAGTTTTACAGCCCGTCACAGGCAGAGAGAATAAATTTTTCTTAGCAAGTGCATCAATAGGCGAAAATAACCATGCGGTTTGAGTGATTTCTGGTAATGATGTTGGCAAAACTAGGCGCTTAACAGCTCGGTTTATAAAATCTGATTTGCAAAAAATAACTGACGATATGAAAATAGGATCCTTAAAGCCTACACAGAATAGACAAAAGACAGCCGAATAAAACGTATTTCAAGAGTATTGTAATGCGTTGGCTGTTTGTTTAACTCTCGGTGTTGGTGAAGGGGCCACTTAGGTGCTGCACCGGGTGGGAGGGCCTCCAGGCCGTGCCAGTAGCCCCAATCCCTTCTGCACGTGGAATATATGTATTCTGTCCAAGTACTATGCAATCTTTTAGGGAAGTCTCGAGGTGCTACAGTGTACCTCTGTGAAAATTATCACGATTGTTAACCACAAAACAAGAATGAGTCAATAGTTAAATAAATGAGAACGTGATTAATTAAAGCTTACAATAAAAAGCTAGCCACATTATGATCACTCCCGTTGCGAAAAGTATGCATTTACAGTAAACAAATGCTTGGCATACGAAAAGAGAATTAGGGTATATTAACCAAATTACTTTATGAAAGGAATAAAAGTGCATTCAGCCACGGATGGGGACGAGAACAAGCACAGAAAGGGGGATTTGGATCTACATGGCTAATGTTGAAGATCAACGAATACTCTCTGTTGTAACGCCAAAAGGCAATGACAGGAATACTTTTTAGCTATGAATTATGATTTAATCCAAAGCAATAAATAGCACAGTACGACTCCTTCGGTACATATTTACGCGAATGTCAACTTAATCTTGGTCATCAAAACAGCATTCCACAAGTGAGCATTCAAACAGGTATTAATTACCCAGACCGGAAGTGGGATTCGATAAACAAATTCTTCTGCAGATGCTTCAGTAAATACACTGATTACAATTCTTATGTGCGAAGGGTGAGTAATAATTGGCAACAAAGTATCACAATATTGAAAACAAAGTAGCTCTTTCCGCCAAAACTACTTACTAATCTAATCACTAGAGTGTACTGTTAAGCGAAAATTTTGGAGTGTCATAGAAATTCTAATGCCAGCAGTAAAATAAAGAGAACTACTAAACAAACTTTTGTGCAACGAAAAATGCGCCAGAGATCCACGTGGTTCGTGGGTAAAACAACAGTAGTAATGGGACGGCCAAATCCAAACGACGAAACAAAGCGTGTAACATCAGTAAGGAATTTATGCAGTAGATATGGCCCATCGCGTCCAGGCTGGGCTAGACCAGACGTCTAATTAGGAATGTCCGGCAGTGCGAAAAATAGCAATAAGGGATCAAAACCAATTAATGATTTTAGCGATTGATGACAAAGCAAAATGGTGACTTTTGTTGCATGCAAGGGAATAATGTCGAAGAAGTCAAATTCGGGAAAGCCGGAGATCACAAGAACCAGGTGGGCTAACTTATGCATCTACGAAAAAGCAGAACCACGACCAATATGCAGCTCAACGCATGAAATTTACATATTCAGAATTCTAAGCCATGTCTTCTAACCACATAAGTAAAATAATAAACGAAATCACACAGTGCCTGGGACAGGGCTGTGAAAATTTACATTTACCGTTTTGTCGAGTGAAATTTCAAAAACAAAACATTCGGAACCGCCAACAGGGCGCAAGTGAACTGGCGGCTTAGCGAGGGTGAGGACTCAGAAGAGGGTAATGAAACAGTACAAACAGTGAGCCAATTGAAGCTGCCACTCCATCCAGCACAGCCCCGCACAGCGCACCCAACGCACGCACGCACGCGCGCGATCAGCCCGGCGTCGGGGTGTTGATCGATCGCCGTGCTGTACGCATGATTCCCGCCCAGTAACATCGCCACCATCAGAGATGGCCGCATTCACAGCCCTCCTTCGGCCTTGAGCCAAGACGCGGTCACAAGGCCCCGAAAACAAGCTAAAAGTGCGTCCATGCTAAACCGATAGTGGCGGTTATGGGACCATAGCAGCTGAAAATAGATATAAAATCAACAAGCGAAGATTTGAAAGAGTATATTCCAGGGGAGAAAAAGATAACACTAAGGGTGACCCAGATTGCATCTATATACTTTCAAGAAGCATCCCGAAATTTGAAATTGAGAGTGTATTGTATGTGGATAAAACCAAATAAAGATACTGTTAAATTAGTGTAAACGATAGGAAGCATACGCTATTGTAAAATAGCAGTGACATCCAACACACGCCAAGTACTATGATATCACTCATCCCTTTGCATCTCCATTAGAGGAATCTTATTTGAGGCCAAAATCGGAACACATCGGACAAATAAAAGTGAGGTTTGACGTCCTAATAAATGGAAATCGCAGTGTAGAGCACACAAACCCCTTGTGATGGTGGGGTGGAATTACAGACCAAGGCCGAGTTCATGTTTCTGTCACTTTACCATTTCTCTTCTGGTATCGTTTATTTCAAAAATTCACCGCAAAACGAACCAGACACACCTAAACTGAACAGCTGTTTGCTGCGACCAAAAGTGCGTATCTTTTGGACAATAGCAAATTGTGGGGAGGAAATGATTTCTATGAAGATGAATATCAACCAAGTGGACCGTGAGTACAAAATTCCACGGTATAACACCAGCCAAGCAAAGGGTCAAAGGAAATGAAATACGTTCAAATGATTCAGATGCTTCAGATGCTTTCTAAAGGACAGCGCATGAATCTATCCACTAGTTTGATTAATGGATGCGAGTAACACAAAATAGAAAACACAAAATCAGCTACAGAAGGTAAAGATGGTAAATTAAGTGAAAAATACCACGAAGTGCAACAAATGATGAAAAAATAAAATAATTAGTTCCTCCCATCTTCTTTGAAAGTATTATAAAGTATTATTAGAATACATGGAGAAATAGCATGAGATGGCCAACCACTTACATGAGATTCGCTGTCCCTGATAATGAATTCGCCAGAGATGGCCAAATTGTTGAGAATGGATTCGCACTCGGAGCGTGAGATGACACCCCAATACCAGGGCTTGCGAGCAAACTCAGAAGCGTTTGGAGAGGCCATAGCAAAGGCCAAACGCACCTCTTCACCGCTAGCGCCGCCAGTGCCTCCAGCAGTAACTTGTTGAGGTGCAGCCCCTGCCATCGCCACAGCGCTGACCGAGGGTGAATATCGGACTGAGGAAAGGGTTGGTGGAAACGGGTTTTTAATGACTCGAATGTAGTTGCATGGAACAAGACCGACGTTACCAACAGCATTTCGGCAACGCCACCAGTCTGGATCGTCAGCGGGTTTGTCGAGTACCTCCAACACCTCATCTGCTGCGAAGGAGAGCTCTTCAACCTGGAAGCAGAGAAGGAAATCGACAGAACAGGTTACATGGTTGTATTAATCGTAGAAATAGGAAAGTCTGCACCGACCTGATTTCTAGTGAAAGGATAGAGTGTGAGGACAGTTTCGCGATAGCGGAGACGGTCATCCATTGCATCGCCGGTCCCATCAACAAATGCAGTGGGTTGAAGTTGGAGTGGCTGTTGTTGCGGTGGTTGTACTGCTGATGGTAGTGGTGATTGTGTTGGTTGCGACTGGAGAGGGGGAAGTACGGTGGAGGTGGGGAAGGGTACAGCTGAGTATGGGGCGAGGGAGGGTGCTGTCGATGGCTCCTGGGGGGTGGGAGCTTGCGGCGGTGGAAACGAGACACGGATGGGAGCGGCAGATGTGACGGAGGTGTTTGGCAGAGCGCTCGGCTTGGTGCCCATCGCTGTGGGAGGCATCTGAGGGGCGCTGGAGGCGAATGTTTGAGAACCACAACTCAGGCTATTCGGTTGACAGATGCTGTTATTTCTGCAATAAAAGGGGTTGTGATGAAAATACTACCCTATTGTAGTAATAGAGATAGAGTTATATCGAAAGCTCCATGGAATGATTGCTGGTTTCAGCACCTATTGCGAAGGAGACTGTGCCGAATTGCAACACAAAGAGGCAGGAGTACAAAACGCAAAAAAATTGTTTGACAGTGAAGTATCCGACCAGTAAACTCTGGGTGAGGAACCGTACAACACCCCGCTTGGGATTAGTGATGGAAATTACATGCCGCCAGAGAGTGCGAATCAAGTTCAGAAAAATGTCTCTCATTATTCAAATAATGTCCTCAAAATATGAACTTAGTTACGGTGTTTTTAGACTAGACCATTAAGACGTGAAATACGCCGTTTGTGATTAAGTGAAATAGGATGTGAATGAAAACTTCCAAAAGAAAAAAAGTTAGTTTCGAAGAATGTCAGAGACTTAGTTTAGTGATAAGGCGGCGCCTGTCTCCTCCAAGTTAAGCACAGTGTAATACTGGAGATGCTTGAAAAAAAACGCAGAAACAAAGAATGCTCCATGAAAAGAAGATACCTTGAATGAAAATGACACGAACAAAGTTCCGGAAAGTAGAACCACAGTAGCAGTACGCCTATAAAAAGAAAACACCCAAGTATGCTAATCAACGGCACGATGCCAAGGTGTGTGGAATTTTCAAGTTATGTAAATAGAAGCAATGAAAAACCTTTAGTTAAAGGTGCATTTTCGACGTTGGCCAGGTTTTTTCTGAACTTACTGCTCCAGTTACTGCTTTCTCGCCTCTATTTGTGGATAGACACGGTCGCTTTTTTGATGGCTTAGTCATCGCCTAGAGGGAGGACCAAATATTCCCAACCGTTCTTCTTTACAGCAACGCTTATTCGCTGGAGGCACGTGGGTCAACTTTCAGCTATCAGAAATGGTAAGGAAATGCCAGAAAATTATGCGATCCATTTTGTCGGTCGGTGCATCGTTTTGCAAAGTGACCTCAGCCGAGAAAAATATTTGTAGGCTGAATACTACTTTTCAGTAGGAATTAGATTAAAATTTCCTTCTACATCAACGAATTCCCTGGCATGGTAAGCTCCGCACATGCAAATCCAATATTCCACTCTCCCTATCGGATAATTTTTTATGATTGAGCCATTGAAATTCCCGTTCATCAAAGGAGGTCGTTTAGTGCAAAGATACATGATACGGAGGCAAGTTAGCATGGTAAGCTTTTAAAAGACATGAACAGGCAGTAAAACATCTCAATAGACCTTATAACCCTTATTTGGTAGTGTTAAGGGGTGTCTGTTTAAACGAGTAGACTACTACAAATTCAAGACAGTTGCTCACGCCAAACTAATTACATGCGTGTCCTTTGCTCACGAAAATAAAGAGGCGAATGAGGTAATCTGTGATCTGCGATAGTAATAATCCACAGTGGAACGGAATTCCATACTGACTTTGCACATAGCATACGCAGTTTTTCAACGAGAGATTACCCGTACATATTAGAAGCTATCGAATAATTTCAACAGATTGTTATGAGATTAGAGGAATAAGAGAAGTGGAAAGTTTCGCCCAAGACTAAATGTATTTGCCTAGTTCGCGCATTAGCATATCACTAAGTTCGCCCAAATAAAGATGTCAAAAAAGATACCTAAGTACTCTGAACACAGCAAATAAAGGTAAGAGAATCAGATAACCAAAAATGACATACGAATTTTGGTGTACCACTGAGAAAAAACACAAGAAATTTCAATTCAGGCATGCGGCCATATCAGTCGCTCCGAGAAAGCGACACCGACACGGTGGCAACTTTGTGTAAGACGGTCCGCTGCCTTTTTGCCACAACACATGCAGAGGCAGAAAGTAGTGCTTTTTTTACTCCCGTGCGCTAAAATACGGCGCACGCACAAGCTTCAATGGTAAATTTAAATTCAATGTGTACGTTCGTGTTGAAACCAATGGGGTGGATTGGGAATGAATGAAGAAGGAGAAGGGAGGTGCGAGGGATCAGAAGTACGGTAGGGAGAGGGGCACTTCATGACTGGTGGATGTTACACCCTGACATGCGTGTGCAAACGCCTCACCGGTGGCCGTGACTGAGGGAGTGGAGAAAATTTGCCAGCACACAGCAAACATCCACTCCACATGCAATCGGATTGCGTAGACTGCTAAATGCCAAATCTGGAAGCAGATAAAGAGCGTCGATGGTGCACAGACGACCATCATAATGTCCACTTCCTTCTCCTTCCCACATTAGCACCATGTTGAAAAGTCACGTAGCTTAGAGGGCATATCGAGACAGGAAGACGTAGATTTCCCTGGCTATATGGAGTTATAACGGTGGATGTGGATGAAAAACAAGAGTAGTTTTGTGTAAAAAGTCTTCATGACTTGACATGCATTAAAGACGAGAATTTTACTAACTGGGAGCAAGCGAGCATGGTAAGAGTATTGGCACTGTAGCGTTGTAATTTGATATTTTTCAAAACCAAAGTTCATGCGGAGCACTGGTGCATACAAAATATGTTGCACAGGCAAATTGGAATTGTGAACTGTAACGTGGTATTGCAGGGGTGCCCTCGGTAATTAATGAATGACTTAGTTGTTTGGTCTGGAGAGCAATAGACATGTCAGAAGTGGAAACATGATAACAATTATACCAGTTGGGTAGTATGTAATGCTTAGTGTGGATGCAAAAGTTGGCTGTACAGAAAAAGTATAATACCAGCAGTCAATAATAGGGGACTAGACAAATGCGGATCAGAAACGAAAACGGGGGTAACTTAGAATATGGCCTCCTAACTAGGGTACCCAATCATTTTCAAAGTACGTTCAATGCGCATAGTGCCATTTTCAAGCGACTGTATCATAACCGTTAGTTGATGCGCCGTTGCCCGTAGTGCATTGGGGACGAAGGCATAAAGACCACGTCGTCCGCAATATTGCAAGTCACTCGATGTGTGATATTAGCACAGTAAACTATACGGTGTCTGGCGCCGAAACCTCATAAATGGCCTTCCCACAAATGGGATAAGTTAAAAAATGCATACCACCGGGATGAAAAGCCCACGACGAGAGGCACAACGCGACTACACCTATTTCGAAGCCTACTTAAGTAGCAGTAACAATGTAACGTTTATGCACGTCCACTCGGCAAAGCACAGAATCCACCTTATTTCAACCTTCCAATGGCAATGTCCGATTGGTGCGCGTTTCTCCGCCTAGTCGCAGCCGCTCCAATCCCCCACTAGAAGAAAGATACAAATCTGCCGCGATCCGAGTAAACGAAATCAATGTCACAAACGGGCGCGCGAACTCTTGAATGACAGACGTTGTTTGCTGCCATTTGTGCAATCAACAGTGTAAGTGGCAAATTATGCGGAGTGAAAAACATTAGCACATATTAGAAAAACCCATCACTGTCATGCTAGAGCTACATGTGAGGTCTAACCTTAACGAACAAAGCACCCGTGTAATAATTTCGTGGACATCTTTGAAATATGTTTGGGGTCGAGAATTAAAGCCCATATTCTGTTAAAAAAGTTGCAATGTGCATATGTAATGAATACGAATAAGTATTCTTCAAGTATTTAAGAGCAGTGAACAGACAGTATAATTGGTAAGATACACAAAACTGCTTAATCTGCAAGGGCCACGTAAGCGAATCGAGGGGTTAGGGGGTAGATGAAAACATCACTGCTGTGTACGCTGTACGGCCAAACTCAGCCATTTTGGTGGTGAAAAGGATAATAACAAACCATTTTCCGACGCTCTATGCGCTTGCGAAACTGGGTTGATTATAAATGGTACAATGGATAAAACAGCAGTCGAGTTTCAAGGACTATTTTCGCAGGTGGATTAACAGTACAGTTTTTGCAAAAGAAAGTTAAGGGGTTAAAAGCGCATCGCAAACCCTGGTGTGCTTCGATCGAGTAGACACAAATGTAAATACTTGAGAGTTGACTATTTTTTTTCAGTCAGGAATTGTTTGTAAACAGAAAGCACACTACCATACTTGTTCTGAAGTCACTCGGGAAATTTTTAGTTAAAAATAATTGCTTAATCTTTTGCCATCAGGAGCCTAGTCATAGGATACAAAAATTCCGGGGCATGAAGAGGAGAAGCTGAGTGAGTTCAATGCACCAATGAATTTGGCCTTTGCAATTGGTGAGACCGATCAAAAATAAACTCCGTGTTTGCGCCTACGATTTCGTAAAAAATTGCTGATATTTTGGACGTGCAAGTACAAATTCAACAACACTTTTCACCCAAATGATTTTATTATTTTTTTCAGTTAGCAAGACTCAGTAAAGGGAAAAGTATAGGCAAAAGTGCATCACAGAGTTGGAATTAAGACCTAATTTTTTCCCCAAGAAAACGATTAACAGAATGTCAGAAATTAATTTCTCGCAAAACAGACGGAACTACTGTATTCAAGTATTAGTACAGCCTTCGTCGAAGGGTGAACGAAACAGTCAACACTGCAAGTCAGCTGCATAATCACCTTGAGTGATCGAGAAAGGAGGGCGTGAACAGTAAGGTGAAGCTGCAGACCGCTTACCATGAAGAATCTTAAGAATTCGCGTAGGTAACTATATGGCGATTATGGAAAGAAAGGACTATCCCCAACGTGCAAGACATATTTCGGCCTGAAAGCATTTCAGCCACATGACCCAGTTTGTGTTGGAAAATATGCCAATAACACGTAGTTAGGTTCACGCCGAAGTTGTGGCTTAGACGCACACGTGACGAATTTGGCAGATTGCCACAGTGTAAATATTAATCAACACTAAATTATTCCAACTCTGCGCGGAGTGTCGCAAGTTAATAAGAAACATTGACGCTTCTATAAGAGCTGTCTGCGAAACCGAAACTCTGATGTGCGATTCCTATTGATAAAAATACCTTACTGATGGTTTTTGAATCAAACTCGGCACCTATTTTCTTCAAGTGTGAATACGAGTCCCCTGGCGGAGGGAATAGTGGAAATCGCATCAGCGTTAAGACTATTCTTACACATGAATAATCCGCTCTTTCGCCACTAAATCTTCGTTCCTTGTAGAATGCGCTTAGGAAATCATATCAGGTGTTTAGAAGGCTTCTTATTTCATTCCTCAAAAATAGGGATTAATAGAGTGCATGAGAATTATAAGTACTTCTGATAATTTGAAAATGGGTAAGAAAATGATAACTTGACTTTGTGCTACTTTATTGCATTGTCAAAAGGAGAGTAGTAAGAATAACTCATAATAAAAAAATGTGCAAGAAAATTTGCAGCACTTAAACCGAGAGCATCTCGGAACTCAGTTCAATGTAATGCGATTCCACTTGGCACTTGACTCAAGGACACAACTTGGCAGGGTCGAAATGGGCATTGAATCACAATTTTATAGAAACACAATTATTCAACGAATTTTTAGGTAGGATCGACTGTACACTATCAATAATGGTAAGTGCGATAAATATCCACGTGTGATAGGAAGCGATTCAAGAAAGTACTTGGCCACAATACCACAGAACTGTGAGTATGTGATTAACCAAAGATTCATGGTGTTTAACCAAATGGCCAACTCCAACCAGAAGAGTTAAATAAAGGAGGAAAACTTTCAGGTTCGATTAGGCGGATGTAAAAGAAATGGGGTGAGGTAGGATAAAATTAAGACCTTAAGTAGCAAGTTATGCTATCAGGAAAAAAATGTGTACAGTAGAAAGCAATCCTAAAAGTAGGTTAATGAAGCTAGCATCTTTAAGGTGACGAACTATTGTACTAAATCCCACGTCCATAAAACAGAAAGATCGTCTCCGAGATTCATATTGGGGAAAGTGGGAAATATTCCATCTTTGGAAAGTTGACGCAATACTCTAAACTCCCATAAGGAAAGGTCATCAATCACAGATTACGTGCCTTACTTTAAACGAAGACGACATAACTAAAAGTGGAGCCCGACAAATCATCAACAATTTCGTCAACGTTGATCTAATGCAATGTTCCGACAGACACCAACAAAACTTAAACATTAAATCACATAAAAAAGGCCATGATGCAAGAGCATAACGGTTGGATATAAAAAATAAATGAGGCGACGTACCCGAGAACCGAGGGTTTTATATGTGTGGATTCCATAGTGACGTAATTAGAGGGGAACCAGCCGGAAGTCTGCTGCTGTTGAGAGGGTTGTGAAATGACGGAACCCTCTGGAGGGAGGAGCACACCGTGCCACCAACCGTCAGAGCTCTTCTCTAGCACCCACACTCGGTCACCGCGTTGTATGGTCAGCTCATCCGGCTGACTGGCAGTGTAGGCGAAACGCGCTACGCAGACTTGACGCGATGAAATACTAGCGCCGCTGCTGTGAGTATCTATAGGTCCACCTCCTCGTGCCATCGGCACTACGTCAGGATTCCACGAGGCAGTACCAGCACCACAATTAGCTGTACTCCATCCAACACCACCGTTCTTAGCCTCCAATGCAACGTCATCGGATAACGGTTTTTGTGGAGATTGATCTCTGGGGCCGGGATGTGCCTAGACGAGAACAGATTCGATAATTTATCTGCTACAAAGGCGAACGCAAAAATATACCACCATAGTTACGGCATTACACATTACATAAACTGTTAATGGAACTCAGTGCTTCTAAAAAAATCTTTCATAACCAAAGTTAGAATAGTAATAGTTGCGGGAATATATTATTAGTGAAAACACAAAGCCATATTTTGAAAAACCTAATAAGTACAGGTTCCTGAACACTTAAATTCGCTGAACAGAATGAAGTGCATAAGCGGAGCAGTTCAAATAAGCTCCGAATACATTACGGTCGCATGACAATAGGAAAAAGGTGAAGACATAAATTTCGGTGCTAGAAAAATGGACGAAGGTTTTGAGCATTAAGAAGTAATTTACAATACTACTGACAATTTTTTTCCATAAAAAATTGCCAGTCTTTTTATTATGTCCTACGACTGCAATATTCAACCCTGGTTGACCTAAGGCACATAATACGAAAAATTCTTAACAAAAAATGAGGCCATCGTTGTGGGAACATTAACAATAGACCGCCTTCATGCAAGGACGCAAAAAAAGCCTAGAACTCAACAAGTCCCTGAAGCGCAAAACATTTGTTAGGAGGCCATTTTCCACATAGACCACCGTCGGGGAGACAGATAAAATAAAAGTTTATCTTGTTACCTACTTCAGTTGAGATCTACATGCCCAACAAAGCAGCTTATGGTATAACTGTGCAGTAACTAAAAATGACGAAGCCGTTGTTCATCACCTCCACAAGGCAGTGTTGAACGGAAGGGCACGACACAAATCTTTGGTTTACATAGACGAACGGACAAATAAATCGTCGAAAAGTGCCAATGCACATGTACACACAGAGACGAGCACAAACATTTTGAACAATAGGGTAAAATTCCCGGCGATAAAATAAGCAATTCGAAAAATTAATGTATTAGCCAAATGTATGCGAAAAATATTCTCAATTTTTCTAGTTTGTGTGTGTGACAAAATAAATGTTTTAGGGTCCCGTGTGTCACTGCTGCAATATTCTACATTTTTGGTCATTAACAGCAAGGAAATTATAATTATGACAAGTGTAGCCAAAAGCAAGACGGTATTCTCATAAAGCTGGACCGTTTGGGCAATCACTATCACCAAAGCCGAATGCACTCCGATATATCACATGGGAATGCCTTTCAAAACGGGAAAAAAAAGAAGCTATACTCGTAGAAATAAGTGAGTGCAAAGTTTTGCCTTCACAAATGGCTAACAGAAGTTTACGCCCTTTCGAAGGCACCTACACTGAGCTCTATGCAATCTATGGTGAAGTGAAATGGATAATTTCGCTACTGCAAAGCAGAGTAGTCACCACAATTAAATTGTCAGAGGACGGCAATCCCCACCGTCAAACGTAATCAACAATGTCGCACCAGCAACCAAATCATGCTCTTGAACCTACACACAGTAAGCAGGAAATGAATAATGGCTCCTAAAGTGCATGCCTGGTTGGGCAAAAACAACAGCTTATGTGGCTCGAACGAAAAGCCTGGAAGAGGAGTTATAAAGTAGCCTAGACTACAAACCTCAAAACTGCTTTGCAGTTAAGCATCAAAATACTTAAAATTCGTTCCTCATCAAATGGACGAGATTTAGACAAATGCAATTTGATTATCACCACCCAGTTATCTGAACTGGAAAAAAGTATGCAAGATATCAGTATAGCATGAAACGGTATGGTAACAGCTCGGAATCCCAGAGACCAACACCCTACAATTAGGGAGACACCAATGACGATAACAAGAGGAATGTTTCAGTTTAAACAGCGTTGTCGGGTATTATGAGAAGAAACCGCTTGACGCTACGTTGAAACTGGTCGTGTTTGCCAAGGCCACAGGCACCGAACCACCAGGTGAGGGGAAGAGAAGTGATACACATTCAGTTGCCTCACTTAACATATTTGGAATCACGACAACGGGCAGGGAGGACAACGTTTCAACTAAGCATATGGATAACTCTTTTGAAAGCATAGGACACCGTAGAGTATCTTATCCCTTCCCTTTATGAACAAATTTCACAAGATGATGTGCTATGAGGCAACTCAGAATTTATACACCAAAAAAGTACCCCAGTTTTGTCGTAGGTATTTCGTGTCTGTGCAGAGGTATGGTGGGACCTAATGACAATTTCGAGGGGATATAAATATCCGCTAATGAGGTAAAAAGTAAGGCTAGTCAGGGATTCCAAAAAATACAAAAACACCGTCTGGGATTTACGTGTTAAAAATCGACGTAAGGTAGGCGCCAACAAAACCATCAAAAATCTTTGGTGAGCCAATTATAGGGAATGGGTTAATATTAAATAATGACCGCTGGAAAGATAGTCTTGATGCATGTTCGCGCACGTTAGCCAGTGGCTACAACGGACGGCGCCCGCGGCTTCACGCGAGAAGGCTCCGAGATACGCACAATCGGGAAAAAGCCTTTAAAACTTGTATGTGCAGGCAGGCCGTGATAAAACGCTTACTAGTCGTGTACAGCGACTAGTAGCGGCCTGAACAAGTGGATGGCTCCACCAGCTGAACCCTAACCAAAGCTTGACTTCACGTTACCAAAGATTTTCCTACTATAGATGATTATTCAGAAGCACCAGGGACAAACTCCAGACGATGTCCGCTGGCTGCTTGAGAAGAGCGGTGTTATTTGGAATTTTCGAGACGCTTTACCGTCAAAAATAAATCTACCGTAACCAAAGATTATCAAAAAAATAAGGAAAGTTCATTGGCCGTCAAAACGAGATGAAAGTACCTCCTAGTAAAACTGAGCCAAGGAGACATAACATTGGGTTGAGGGAGGAAAGTGAGATAGCAAAAGCTAAAAACATATGTATCTTACCGGACTGCAGCCTAAATGCTTAGGCTTGAATAGATAATCACCAAAAAAATACAACAAGCTATTCTAAATGCACCAAATTATGTGATTTTTAGGGATGTCTGAATGCATTCACAAGGAACGATGGCAATAGTGAAGGCCTCCACGAAACTACAAACAGGTAGAGAGCATGTATATCAGCCAAGAAAACTCTGTGAATCACGAAATTCGTGAAGATATGCCAGTTAAACATACTAAGCGACTATGTTGCACTTACAATAATAAAACAAAGTTCAGTAGTGCGGTAGGTGGAGTTTGATAGCAAATACAACAATGGTAGGATTAAAAAAACAACTACCAAGTTTTTTAAGAGACTGTAATAGTTTCGTAGATATTAATGCGATTTTCAAGGCTGGTAACTTGTTGAAGACATAAAAATAGAATAAAGTTGGAAATTACGGGTGGAAGCTGTTGGGTGGAAGGCAGGAAGGATGAGCGTGGGTCGATGATGCCATTAGAGGAGAACGGGCCGACGACGGGTTGGTAACCAATGGTGGTGCTGTCCTTGGCGGGTGATTGGCCCGAACCGGAGGACGGAAGCGATGGCGCCACGTAGTCGAGAGATTCGGCACTGGCCTTTGAGACCTTTCCACCTCCGCTCGAAACTCCACCGTTACGTGCGGAGCTGGTTTGCGCCGGAGGCGGTCGACCGCCCGTTGATGCGCCTGTTGCTGGGGGTGGAAGGTCTGTTCTACTTTTTCGTCGACCGAGGGTGTTACGTAGACTCGAAAACAGACCCTAGTGTGGTATCAACGGAAGGTGCAGGAAGATGAGAAGCTACGCTGCTCGACCACAAATAAATGTTGCAATTGTTTTAAGCATAGAAATCCATTTCAAATAAAATAACGTAAACTTCAAATAACTAAGGACTGAGCAATGCTACAAACCTGTTTGGATCGCTTAACATAGTTGCTTGGAACGTAGCCGACTTGACCAAAGGAGTTCATGACCTTCCACCAGTGTTGAGTATCATCCATCAGTGTCAATTTCTCACCCTTTTGTATGTCAAGTTCTTGGCTATCAGTTGCTTTGTAATCGAACTTAGCAATGACAACATCGGTTTCTTTAACAGTGGTCATCTGTTCCTAGATTAAGTAAGGCAGAATATCAAGAAAAAGTACACTATGAGTTAATAGACTTTACAGTTCAAGCTTATCACTGTATGCTTATCTACTTGCGGTGCACGATTTCATATAGGTTAAGATGATTGTAATTACGCAAAGCAGGATTATTCTCGCTTTAATATACATATGAATTTCACGAAATAAATGTGCCTCAGCTACTACATAGTTAAGCGAGTAGCATAAAGATTAAGGGATATCGGTAAGAACAGAACGGGATCACATTGAGCTCAAGCTTAGAACTAGGGGATACCAAAAAACAGACTACAATGCCAGTTCTACTTGCAGATCTTAACTAGTGAAACGTGGTTACCTTTTTAATCAAATTATTAGTTATGTAAATGCAAAAAATACAGCCTCGAGGAATCCGGTGCTGGAGCACCGCTATACATCGAAAGGAGCGCTCTGGAAGTTGCAAAATAAACCGTCATCAACGCCAGGTACAGTATGGCACGACTTTTAACTTAACGCACGAATGCTCATTGACCCAAATATTTGTATGTAAGACATTTTGAAATTTAAGATAAAAATTGCTTGCTTGCTTCTCCGTTGTTTTGCCAATAAAAATGATTTTTTGCTGATATACTTTGGCATGCTTATGCGTTGATGCTGTAAATTACACAATAATATTCATTTATTTTGTTGATACATGACAGGGCCTTAGTTTTGCCGACAGATTTGGTGTTTTATGGTTATTTATTATCTTCTTATGGTTAAATAATTTTGCCTTTAAACCTTTTCGCCAATGAAGGATTGAATTCTGAGTTGAATTTTTATAGTAATAGACGTTGACGAGCTCCCTGTATCAAAGTCCAGGACTTTTCTGAAGACAAAACGTAATACTCGAGCAGGATATGTATTGTCGACGTACAGAATAGACTGGATGGTTATGGCTTGGCCCGAAGGCCTGGCCGCCCGGTGGATGCACGATGGCGGGGCCCTGATCGACCTGTTGCCAAAACCCAGATTTAAAGCACAGCTGACATTTTAAACCTATTTTTTGCAACTAGTCTCCCCTAAAGACTTAAGAAGTCACAATACCAGGTCTGAACACGCACTACTAACGCACAGAAGGTCTGTGAATCTACCTGCTTTGTGCAAAGGCTACGCTGCGGAGTGGAAGTACGTTTTGTGAGACTCCGCATAATCAAACGTAGGGTTGAGCAAATTGTTAGAGTATTACATTATGCAGCATAACTCTATGTGTAATCAAGTGGATTACTTTGGCTCCATAGCCTGTACTTTTTCAAGGAGCATGACCTTCCAGTCATTCTCAGAGTGTTTCAAACGTTCCGCATGTTAGTAATGAATCATTCTCTGTGCTAATAGAGTTTAACTTAACGTTCAAAGTAGTATAGTGGGGCCATGAGAAAATTGCACTCGAGTTTGTACGCAACTTCTTACGGTTACGGTTTTTACATAAATTCGCCGATGTCATTGATATAGGATCAGAATTTATAAGAGGTTGTCTGTTAAATTAGCTGAACTTCACTCGCTTTAGTAAGAGATTAGGAGATCATACAAGACGTATGTCCTCGATTCAGCCAAAGGATCACGCTGATCTCCTAATAATCTTTCATTCCTCCAGGTCTGCTGAAGCAGTCGGGTTTCAGTCGACGTATCAAATAGTTACAAACACCTACCTGGTACATTTCTGCATCAACGTCGGCATAAGAGTGTGCTTTTGCACGCCCTCTGGATAAAAATGTGGCCCTCTGGCTTTTCGATGATGTTGAAATAGTCATGCCAGTATGGAAGTAAGATGGAAGTGGAATCAGCGGAGGCTGAGGAGATTGCATGGTTAAATATAAAATAAGCAAATAGTAAATCACCGAAAAGTGGAGCTGAGGCCAAATCTGTCAGGACATACTACCGATCAATTTATAAAAAGTACTTGACTTTGTGGGTAATTCAAGCATTTTTCCTCCAATTTGACAAGAAGTAGTTATTCTGATAATGGTTTTCTTTTTTTGCCTTCTAATTTTATTTTTAAAAACATTTCCAAGTATGCAAGGGAACCAGATAAGCTTCTGCGGCTTTTAGAGTAAGAGGTGGAGAGCTGCAGAAATTGTGCTAAGATATCTTATCAGCCAATCTACCTCTTCCCTGGGAAGACTTAAGCTCGTGAATTCCACTTTTACGAAAGGCTTTATGCTCAGTCACCTTAGATATTACCTCTTCTTTTGTCTCAGCTTCATTTTCCAGCTATCTATTTCGTATCTAATTGTCGAATGACAAGGAGGTGTGAAAGTCGCTTCTAGCTGGTAGTTTTGGTGGCATGAGGTCTTGCGTTGTGCTGTCTGACCATCCTGTGCTCACTGCTTCTAAAGAATCGAAAACAGGAGCAGGAAAGTGGAGTGGATAGTATGGGGAGAGACAGTGACATGTTCATTCACTTGACGTTAGAATAAGAAGGCCACTGCTCGACACGAGTCAGTCAGCAAACAGTCAACAACGTCCCACATCCTCTTCATGTCCTCTTTATGTGAAGGCGAGAAGTGAAGAACAAGTTGAGTCACTTTCCCTGAAGCTAATTGCCACCTGTCGCAGAAGTCATTTGTTGTTGCCGTTACTGTTACTGTTGTTGTTGTTGTTGTTGTTGTTGTTGTTGTTGTTGTTGTTGGTGGTGGTGGTGGTGGTGGTGGTGGTGGTGGTGGTGGTGGCGGTGGCGGTGGTGGTATTGTTCGGTACTTCAAGAGAGCAGTCAAGTTGTTTGAGCCATATCTGTGTAGTATGCTCTGCTGCATCATCTTCCCCAAATGCAGTTTAAACTACATAAGAAGCTTCTGCAGCCTTGGAATCTAGTTTGACCCTATTCATACGCCGGATAAGACCGAGTCATATCCAATGATTTTAGCCGATTTTTTTGTGAAATGAGGAACAGATAATAACAAAGAGGGGAGGGAAGTGGGTAAGGAGTGCTGTACTAACGCCCTGACACCTTTCAATGCCTCGTAACGCATGTAGACAATTGCATGCATTTCACGGGTTGGTAGGAGTTACAGCAGGTCATCCCGGTGATCTATGCCAAAAAACCATAAGAATTTTCTTGACCATTTGCTATGAAGACTGAATGGATCACTCGGGCTAGTGACCTTTGGTGCCAATTGAGTCATTCGAAAGACAACACCTTTTTTTTACAGGATTTAATGCAGTTTTGTCACCTCCATGAAGAGCAAGGCAAGCTCAGTCCATCTATTTTCTCTTAAAAAACTTTTCACTTTCATTTAGGTATATTTGAGTGAAAAATACCCTTAAGCACAAAAGAGAAGTAAAAATCCAAACAGTGGAATTTTAATATGCAATGATATGCTTATGAAGATTAGTGACCACCGTAAATCACGTGTGGATCACCGGAAAATTTTTGTTTTAATTCACTTGTCCATGCCACTCATCGTGTTAGCTCTCCACCTGTGGAAATTTAAATACAAGGCCCTATCCCGTTTCTTCAAAAGATACGTAAATTTACACCATCAAATCTTTATCGGCGTACAATGGGATGATAGTCGGTTTTCAGCACAATTTTATTCTTTCATAAAGAAAAATGATTGCTTCTCCCTGAAGGCAGATAATGTAACTCTGGCCCATCGAGACTTCTTTGAAGAAGGAAGGAGGCACAATACTCTGTTGGAATATGTATTACCAACACACAGAAGGCATGGGGGCTACTGACATTGCCCAGAGGCCAGCCCATCCCGCGAAAGTACAATCGCGGAACCTTAAGTCCCTGAGAAACTAAAAAGAAGAGAAAAATAAATAATCGAAGTATTACATAGCTTCTCCCTTCTTTTAAACGCCGTCTTCGGTCCTCCCCTTCGTCACCCTCCTGCGTCAGCCATCTCAATGTAATTGGTGCTGTGAGATCAACACACATGAGTAGACCACCTTAGTAGTCATCGAATTACCGCGCAAATGAGATATTTGGTCAAAATGGCAATGATCCCTCTTTGAAATTTTACGCCATCTGGAGTTTCCTCCTGTGTGGAAACTGTACTCGGGGATGGGGGGATGTACTAATCAGTCACCTATGCCCATCTCTAGTTGAAGGAAGATTGGCCTGAAAGCAGAGTCATGCAAAAATGGACGGGGTATAACTATTTTGTGGGAGCAGGGTTTTGCGTTAGCGCCACGTTGTTCTCACGGCAGTGCTGCCCAATCATACCTTTCTACTTGGCTAAGTAGAGGGGTTGAAGGGATATCGCGCCTTCACACTTCTGATACCACCATACAGGTGCGAAGGACAGCTTCGTAACGAAGTTTTGCAGATGGTTTACGACTAGTGCCGCCTCAGTTGTTAATACCTCTCCTGCAGACCACAGCAGTTGGGTAGCTGCCGAAGGTAGACTTCATCTTCAGCCCTTCTGACAGGGCTGGTCACCGATTCTCCCATCTGTAGCATATGCACTTCTTCCGCCTCACTAAGGTTTGCCGACCAGTAGTAGGAATCAGGATAGAGGTCCATTAAGGTATATTTTGCTTTCCACTGCCATCAAAGTAGCGCCCCAAGACTTGGACAGAACATGTATTCTTGACTTACGGCAGGTCTTTTTGGCTACCGACATGGACCAGAGGCCGGATCGGCCGGCATATGTACAATGATGGAGTCCTTAAGTGTCTCCTTTACCAAAATTGAGAATTAAACAAGACTTAGTAACTAAAATAATCAGACGGAAAACCATGGCTCACAAGTCAACACTTCTGGCTAATGCATACAGAAACACGGAATCACTTTTATAATTGGTAACCTCTAAAGGGTTACAGGAAATCGTACAAAAGCCACCTGAAAGTGCTTTCCCACCCACAATGCCGCCTTAACACTTTGCGCGTGAAGGTGTTGTGGCAATCACTGTAAATTAAAATGGTCCTTTCTTTTAATCTTTTAATGCCATCTTCTCCATCTGGGACCTATAAGTTGGGCTGGAATTATGGTAGGGATAGAGTCTGTATATAGGCTCAACCACCATATTATTCCGCTAAGAACTTGGTACTATGTTATCAGCACTGTAAAACTTGCACAGGCAAGAGGTTGCATGTGTCGTTAATAGCAAGACCATTTATACACGTTTTGGTGAACAGACATTAATCGACTGACAAAGTGCCTTTGTTGAAATAAAGATAAAGTTGTTACTCATTCTTTAAATTTTAATACGTATGAGGATAACTGGACGATTTGGACCTAATCAGTTCGCATTTTTTTGAAGAAATGAGGAAGTGCCGTAAAAAACTGAGTAATACGATAGTTGTTTAGCTCTCGGTTTTGTTAAAGAGCCACTTTTGACTTGGCCATTGCACCACTTTGGTCTTCAGGCCATGCCAGTAGCCCAAATACGCTCAGTATGTTAAATGTACATATCCTGTCCGAGTTTTATGTATCTTTTCGTCTTTGCGGAAAAATATCGGGACTCAACGATTGTGTCTTGAACGATTGGATCGTAGTTATTGAGCCTCGAGATTAAGCTGAAGATAATTGCGTTCATAATACTCTAGTGGAACATATATTTTGACGTACGGAAGAAATCGTGGCTACTGGCATTGCCCGGAGGCAAGCCTTCCTGGCAAAGGCACAACAGCAAAACGGCGAGTTAAACAAGCAGCTCATCGCACTACAATCTACAAAGACCTAGGTGCTTACGTGGCTATACGCTGAGTTAGGAAGGCTGGCGAAACACCGCATCTAATGCCGTTGATTCTGAGCATAAAGTGCTTTGATTCTGACGTAACAAAAATGGTAGCTGAAAGCGTAGCGAAAATATTGTGGAAAATCCCAGCTCTGCTTTAAGGTCGCGACAAGACATTTTAAGACGAAAAAGTACCTGCAACTGACACACGCAACAAAGACATCTCATTGGCGCAGAAAAATAAGCAAAAATTGCAAATGTATATCTTTAGTGAGTAACTATCGTATGTTAAATTACGTAATCTTTGTTAGGCACGCTTTTTACACTTTTCTACAAAACCAGTGAAAATAAGTCAACCTAAATATAATGCCATTTTGTGAATACATTTCTGAAGCATTTTAACTGTTGTTTAAGTGTGCAGCGTGTACCACTTTCGTTAGTGTTTGGCGTAATGACGTGAGTTATTCCCGTGATGACTTTTACGTTACTTGATTTGTGAAAGCACTCCTCTAAGAAGTTCTGATTTGCCATGTCCGACTTGCCTGTTTTAATACTTTTGACAGGAGCAAAATCCCCAAGGACGTTATGGCTAAGGAGATTGAAGACATGCTGAGCTACAGTCTAAAAGTCCGCCGCAGGAAGTTTCTGGAGACTGTTGAGCTACAAGTAGCCCTGAAAAACTATGATCCTCAAAGGGATCGTCGTTTTGCAGGCACTGTTAGGTGAGTACCGCCTTATGGTGGGAGTCAGTGCTGAACTGACGGACCTCCACCCAGGGTCTTAAAAATCTGGGAAGGCCAAACGTTAATCTCTCCCATGTAGGCTAAAGCACACACCGCGGCCGAAATTTTCTGTGTGTGTTCTGGGAGACCAACAACACTGTGATGAAGCAAAGGCTAACAATATCCCTTGCATGGATGTTGACGAGCTAAAGAAACTGAACAAGGATAAAAAGCTTGTTAAGAAGCTCAGTATGTTCGCCCACATGGAGTTATTGATCTATCTAGGTAAGAAGTATCAGGCTTTTCTCGCTAGCGAGAGTGTCATACGGCAGATACCCAGGATTTTGGGCCCCGGCCTTAACAAGGCGGGAAAATTCCCTACTGCTGTTTCCCACCAGGAACCTCTTCTGCAGAAGGTCGAGGATATTCGTGCTACCATTAAGTTTCAGATGAAGAAGGTCCTCTGCCTTGGTGTTGCCGTTGGTAATGTAGGAATGACAAAGGAGCAATTGCAACAGAACATAACCCTGGCAATTAACTTCCTTGTTTCCCTTCTGAAGAAAAACTGGCAGAACGTCCGTGCCCTGTACATCAAAACGACTATGGGGCCACCCCATCGCCTTTACTAATTAGTTAATAAAGTGTGTGGTCTGTTATTTTTCTCCGGTTTTTGTTGTAAACCTATGGAGGCGGTTTTGGGTTAGTGCACGCATGTGTAGACGCATGCGTGTGCACGTTGGCTATCGGCAGTCCCCACAGCTGGTGGTCAACCATCTGCGGGGGGGTCTGTCGGTTCGGCTAAGGAGGATAAACTTTCCTGTGCAATTAGAAGGGGTGGAGAACGCAAAAGCTACCATGATCAACTCCATACATTTACGCCAAAGATGGTTTACAAGTGTTCGGACTTCCGAATGGCATCTAGAAATGGGTGGTTGTCGTGAAGGTAGATTGGAACGGTTCGCTCAGCGTAGTACTCGCTCTTCATCTCCACATTTTCAATAACGTCCTCGGCTAAAGTCGCCTTGCCAACCTGCGTGCCCCCGTCCGCCGGTCCCTCGACATGGATAAAGTGCATATGTAAACGGTAGAAAGTGGGAGGATAGTGGAAGTAGGCAATGATTTGATCCTCCCGTAGCCCGTCTTCCTTCTCACCGTTGTACTTTGCCACAAGTTGCTTTCTTCCTTCTGTCAGCATTGTTCTCAGCATTGGCAAATGACAAGCTCTTAGGTCACGCAGGCATGTCAGTCTTGGATTCCTTGCAAGAGCCAGGGCATGAAGCTCATGCAGCTTACTACCATCCCACCGATAATCTAACACTAGAGTGAACCCGAAATTCGCATCCTTATCTGTAAGTAAAACGCGTTCTACCTCAGCCGTTCCATTGAGAATATTGTCAACCCAGCTGAGGTCCTTCGGATTTGACTCCAGAAATGGGAGAATAACGTTTTGATAAGTTTGAGGCGTCTCCAAAACTATCTGGCGCTTAGAGGACGTGTACTTGGAGAAGTGATGGGCTTCCGCTGGATGGATTACTGTCATACTTATACGATTAGCTCGCTCTAACCCAGTCACAACAGAGAATCGACGGTATCTGTCATTGCTTACAATCTCGTCCACTTTCCAGGTAGGAAAGTTTGTTTCTTTTTCGTTATGATCGCAATCGCCTTCAACGTAGGGCACACCTACCTGAGCCTCACACAGATCAGGGATTTCGTTTGGAAAGGGGGACTTCTGTAATATTACAATAGCATCCTGATCCAATGAGTCTTTGAACCTGACATGCAGGTAGATCACCTTGCTCCGAATGTCATTTCGAAGTACACGTATGATTCGAGTGTTCGACGGAGAATATGCACTAGCAGGTGGCGTTGATGAGGAATTAGAGTTGATGGAAGTTCGACGACGTTTACGAGGAGGGGAACTCGTGGAGGAAGTGTGAGAACTCGAAGAACCCGACTGACTCATTTGCGAGATATGAGATCGGACAGATTAATCTCGATTGCTATCACGTCCGATTCACGAACTCGAGCCCTTGGAACAACTCCAATCGGAGTAACTAGATTTTTACAACAAACAGCTCCTTCACTATACGAACTGTTTGGAAAGAGAGGAGCCCACGCCTCAAGATGACAAGAAAGGGGTTCGTCACAATTAAATAAATGAAGAAGCGCTGGTGCGTCGGAACCAGTAGATGCAGAAATTAGCGAAAGAAAACGCAGGTGAAGATGATCGCGCACGTCTTCGATAGGTTCAATGGATGCTTTATCGATCGACATATAAGCTCAGAAGGTACCGGGCAAGTAAATCGGGGCGGGATTGAAATAAGGACGTGTTAAATTAGATCTATCAGCCGGGTGTAAATTCTAAAATAGAAAAGAATGAACTCACATAACTCACAAAGAGATACTTAGTCATTGAATGAACTCGTAGAATATAAGCTTGCAAGCTTCAAAGAGATGGAGGTAGGACAGAATTTATAGAAGTTCGAAGACAACTTGAGGTACTTACATTATTCACTAACAAAATAACGTCAATCAAATACCACAGACCCAGGCCACCAAGCGACCACATTTTTAAAGCACCTACACAGAATTAGGACATGGTAACAACAAACCCAATGCGACATATCCCAGGTAGAACCTGTCGAGACCAAAAATCCCACCAAAAATGGATAAAGTTAACGCCGTTCCATAGCTATAGCCATTACTAAATCAGAAAATCAGCTGAGTCCATGATTGTTACGTACGTCCACAAGCAGGTAGTATTCTTAAAGAAGACACCTCGTCCGTCGTCATTACTCATACCAATGCATGAAATGTTCGGTGCAACAAAGCATTTGACTACGTACATTAAGAAAAGCAAGGCAAATACTTTCAGCTAAACCAGTAGACTTTTCGCAATCAACGGGTTGCTGCGTTAGACGATCTATAACTGCTTCATTACATGTATACTGGCCTGGAAGAAGATCTGAACACTTAACAATCGAAAAAGTGCTGCCGAAATCAACAAAACCCGTCATAAAAAACCAAAACACCACCACCATTACTAAGCAGCCAGGAAACACCACGTCATATAGTTGCCATGACAAGGCAGTTTACCCAAACGTTCAAGGGTAGCAAGAAATTTCAAGCCACAGTTTCAGGTTAAAAATGCGGTTTATTCATAGTTATTACGAGAGACGGAAATACAAAGCAATGTAGCTAAGGAACAAAAAATATGGCCGGTGAAAATTGGTATAAATCGAACAGAAAAATACGCAAATCAAGATACAAAGCATATATTTGATTGTACTCATGGATTTTATTAATTCGTTTTTTTTTCACCTCAGCTGCAATTTATCAGTAAGTCAAATTTTTAAATGCAGAAGCATTATCGCCCAGTAGTAAAAAAATTAGGTAATTTTTTTCATTTGAGTTCATGGTGTTATAGAGGCACAAACCCCTACAAAGCGGCAAGGGGACGTAAGTGCCTTCACCACTAACGCTATTGCAGCGTCCCGGGACTCCCTGAAGACGAAAGAAGACACAATACTCGGGCAAAGTATATATATTCAGCACGGAGAAGGTGTCTGGGCTATTGGCATGGCCCAAAAGGCCAGCCCACCCAGCGAGGTACAAGGGGGCTAATTCGAAGCACAAAAGTGGCGTCTCACCAGAACCGAGGGATAAACCACTATCGTATTACACTATTTTGCTTCTATGGTGAGCAAACACTCTGTTAAATTGTTTACTATTAACGAACAAATTTATGTAGCCTTTTTTTACAAACTTCTAGAAAATCGCCCCCTTTTTTAATAATTACTTGCCTTACCAACATATGTTCACTGTTGGTTTTTAGGATCCCTATACTACTTGTGAAACCTAGCACTAATTTTATGCTTTTTTAATGACAATATCAACTGTCGATTTGTATTAAAATTAAAGAGTGATCGTCTGGTCTTGTTTCAATCTCCCTTAGTTTCGGGTTCAGTCTCCGATGGCTTCGGAAGTGTACTTCAAGTTCAAGTCGAGTGTTAAAACTGATTCGATCCCATTTGATGGGTCAGCCATATCTGTCAAAGAACTTAAAAATGCCATTAAAAACAAGTGTTGCCTTCGTTCTGCTGATTTGGACTTAAAGTTGGAAGATAGCACTGGAAAGGGTATGGTTTTCGTTTGCCATTGAATTGCCTTCCTTCAGAGTATTCCAGGGATGCGGAACTTATACCAAAGTTTACCAGTATAATTGTAAGACGTGTTCCGAAACCAAATGGTGAGCCTCAGAAGAGGAGGCCTGCGCAGTCGTCGGTTTCTCGGGACAAATTGGTGAGCATCGCAGTCTTGCTTTTCCGTTTTTCTTTTACTTGTCGGTGATTTATGTGTATTTATTGCCTTCTAGGCTAGCCAGACAGACACTTGTCTTTCTAATGTAAGCGCTTTTTGCCTGAGTTAGTTTGTTAGATTGCAAATTTGGCGGATTCTGATTTACCGGAGGAAGAGAAAATTCGACTTATGATTGACAGATCTTCAGAGACCTATTCTGCAAAAAAGTGAGGTTATCTTTTTAGGTTACACGTTTAGTTACACTGTGAAGGCTAAAGCTTTTGGCATTCCTCCTCCAACTTACACTTGCCACAAGTGCAACCAGGCCGGCCATTGGATCCACGACTGTCCTGGTATTAAAGACGTTCGAGGAAACCTGGTGGATTCCAAGACAGTGAAGCGGCCGACCGGTATTCCCCAGGATTTTCTTGTGAGAGTCGATCCGGGTACACCGGGTGCGTATCTCGATAAGTGTGGACGCTATATGGTTCCCATAAAAGACGCGTAAGCCACCTTTTTACTAATTTTCTTTAATCATAGTGAGGCCTATTCCCAAAAAAAGAAAGAGAAGCGTGCGTTTTCTCTCGAGGAAAACCCCCCTTATGTTCCACCTCAAGAGCGTACCCCCTCCGCAGGCTTGGTTTGCCCGCTGTGTAAAAAACTGCTTAAAGAGGCGGTAATTATAACTTGTTGCGGTACTTCATATTGCAATGAATGCATTACAAACCATTGCTTTGTTGCGGGCTCACAAAAGTGTCCGAATTGTGGGGCGCCCGCGGAGAAGTACGATAGTGCTATAATCGAAAACGCTGCAATGAGACGGGCTGTAACCGACTGGTTGAGGGCTGGCAGTTCTCCAGAAGTATCAAATCAACGATTTTCGCCCGAAGTAATCCAAACGAAAGGCACACCTGAGCCCGAGAAGGTTTGTTGTGGATATAGTTTATTAGTTGATTAATAGGTGGTTCGCCGCCTTCTTAAACCGAAGCAACCGGCGTCGATCGGGTCTGGAAATGCAGAAAGTGGATCTGTAAATCAGGAAATCGGTGGCGAATCAAAGGAATCAGTTTTGGAATTAGCTGATTTGAAGAAGGAAAATGATGCTACTGTAAAGCCAGAACTTTCTGCATCAAATCTTTCAGACTCGAAAACTTTGTCATTCCCGTCTAAATCTGAATCATCTATTACCCATGTTAAAAGTACCCCTATTGAATCTCACACCCCTCCTGTTGTTTCTAATACAAGTAGCGTAGCCAACTTGCCTTGTGCAAATTCCTTTGGTGCAGAAAACGTTACTTCTATGTTACCGACTCTACCAAATGTTACATCATTGTATAATGGTGCACCGCTAGTTTTCCCGGGCGAGGGTGCCTCTCTCGCAAACGCTGTATATAGCGCAAATCTTGCAGCCTCCCTAACTGCAGTAGGTGCAGCTCAGGCTCCACTAAATACCGTCTTTCCAAGCAACTCCCTGATCTCATCCAGTAGCGTGTGGCCTTCGGTGGACCTGTCCCTCTTAGGCGGTGTGGATCAGAGCGGCTTTTCCAACCCTGGCAATGTCTTCCCTTCAGTCAATCCTCTCGTGGATCTGCATGGTGCAGTCGGTGGCGATAAACTTCTTTCAAAAGAGGAGTTTTACCGTATGAAGAGACGCTTGTTGGAAAAGTCACACAGAAGGTAATTGGTTTTATTCAACTGCCAAATCGTACGTAGGATATTGATGTCGAACTGCTGTTCTGTTAAATCGTTTTCTTAAACGTCATTGCTTTAATTTTGAAACTTTTTTCCTGAGAATTTTTACTAATATTCAGGGATGTAATGTGGGGTGACGACTTGAAGGCTTGTAGAAGTTATTTGCAAAGAAAAGGCGTGTGGAGTGTGGATGGTGATCCGACTTGTTCTGTCGCATTTGGCACCTAAATGCGCAGTTATCTTCACATGTCCTGCCAATGATTTCATTCATACCTACGATTGATCTGGTTCATTCTGTTTAAATTTCATTCTTCTCCAAACAAAGACCAGATGGAGATATCAGTCGAATATCGTCTGCAGCTGCTTTTAATTCGTCCTAAGGTTCTTCACCGGCCATATAAAATAATTGTATTGTATCCAGTTTAAGTCAGCAACCCATTTGGGGTCAAGCTTTCACTTAAATTTTACCTTTTCTGATTATTAATTATCTGTATTTTTTGGCATCGTGGATGCATTATTTCACGATTTGTTCGTGACTGCAGGCGTCCGCGTAGCCGAGACTCCCTTCACTCACGTCGCAGGTGTGAAAGTCGTAGACGCGCAGCTGCTGACTACTATTATCGTAGACGTGAGGAGGAGCGACGGTTACGAAAACGGTCACCTCCAAGACGTCGTCGCTCCCGTAGCAGTGGCTCTGACCGCCGTCCGACTAGAGGGGATGGCGTGGCCGTTGAGGACTATGATACATGGAAGCGCAGAAAAGAGCGTCGTCTGCAGATTGAGGCTGCTGGGGGCAGGCGCTTCTCTCCACTCCACGGACCTTGTAGAAGCGCTTCTTCCAATGGCTCACCTTTACCAACTGCCAGACGAGAAGCGTCACCTCATGAATACTCTAGTGATCGCAATCGTCGATATCCCGAAGCGATGGATAAATCTCGTTTGCGAAGGTATGGAGTTAAGGAATTTACGACAGATTGAGTTCATTCACTTCCTCAAAACTGTCTTAAGGCAGTATTTTTTTTCAGCTAGAGGGTTTATTGAAGATGAGTATTTTGATGTAAATTCTCAAATCGCGTTAAGTGATTCGCTTGATTACCATCTGTTTATTTGGCGACATGAATAGAGTACTCAGCAGTAATTGGATGCACATTTTTTCAAACAGTCCCTTTTACGTTGGAAGTCCCATTCGGAAGACTTTGGAAGAGACCTCTCCGAATCTTGAAGGAACCTGTCGTCACCAAGACCGTCGATATCGTGGCGAAGATTCGGAGTATTCCCGAAAGCGATCTCTTTCAAAAGAGGGCTCAGCAGTGCCTGATATCGTCTCATCACCACCCGAAAATGCAGATGGTGACTTGGATGCTAAGGCACTAAGGAAGCTTCGCAAAGAGCAAAAAAGAAAGGCCAAAAAGGAAAAGAAATTGTAAGTTTGCATTACTGATGCACTGGTTCCGTGCATACCCAGGAGAATGACAAATTGTTCTCTAAAACCTGATTGGTCCATTGATATCTGCTAATTTCTCTTGCTGTCTGCTCACTAATTATGAGTTGTAGATAGTGGCGGTGGGATTGTGTTGCCGCACGATTGCCCCGAAAACCTTAGAACATATTTTCTATCATGATATTTCGTGCTTGTTATTCCACAGAGCAAAACGGGCTGCTCGGGCTCAAAGAGCTGCTGCTGCTGCTGCTGCTGCCGGTGGAAGGGGTGCGGGTGAAGGAATTTATGACAATCTGGACGGAGTTTCTCCCGTAGTTCCTGGGGAAGACGATCGCGACGATGGTGAAAGTTCCAAGTCAAAACGCGATAGAAAGAAGCGGAAGAAGAAACACAGGCATGAACGTGACTTGGAGTCTGATTCTGGAAGTGATTCCAGGATAAAGCGGAAGAAAAAGGATAAATCGCGGAAATACCCGAGCACTGATGAAGAACCAGATGAGCTAGTTGAAGTTTGCTAGAACCATTTTTAGTCCACCTAGGTGTACAGTTGTATTTTGATATTCTTTTTCTCAAATAAAACCATATATGGTTTCAGGCTACGCGATCCAATAATTCGCTTTTTGCTCATTGGCAGTAGGGTATTTGAGACAACTTTCTGGCAAATAAAGCTTGGAATGAGCATTTACCTTTCAATTTCAATGTCGTGGTGCTTCCAATTTCCAACTATTTGAGTGATTTAAGTGTCATTGCAATTTGCCTGAGTTGGAACGTAGTAAATTAGACTGGTCGGATTATTATTTGATTAATTTAGGGAGTATTTGACGAGTTGTATAACATTGGCGCTTCTATACGTTCATGGTTTCTAGCGATTGCCACCTGGCTGCACTAGCTGTGCACTTTAATCTGAATGATGGTAATCCTTGCAAAGCTGAAGTTGTAGCCCGCATGGGCATTCACTCTACCCCTATGCAGTGGGTCACACTCCATCAGGATATATTGTTTTTGGCTAGAGGGAGTACGTCTTGGGGTGCGTAGTGTGCGGTTAATTGGTTGCAAGTGCGTACTTTCCCCCAGCGCAGCCTGCTCGTGGCTCCCTGCGGACAGATGAGTTTAAGCAATGGTGGCGCTGAGAACCGTTTTGCAATGTGTGGTGAACCAAGATGGAATAATGTGTTGCTCAAAGGTAGCCGGTCAAGAAAATTGCTCAGGGTAAAGTGTATTGGGGTAAATTGGCTAGCGTAGGGTAAATAAGGTCGTGTCGATGGCATTATCAAGGTCTGTCCACGCGTAATAATGTTAGTCCACTTCAGATAGTCTTGTTTCTACCTCATTTTCACCAGGGCTGATTCTCCGCAACTCTGAACACGATTATATTATTTTTCCTCTAAATTTGAGCGATAACTTTTGAACCCATAGGGATTTTAAGGCGCAAATGGGAAATAGCTTGCAGCATTAAGTACACGTACCACTAACGGCTTATACGACCTTCATAAAAGGAATAAAGAAACACGTTGTCGTCCACTTGGTTAATTTTTGGACAATTTTGGATCCGTTTTTTTCGTGTGCGCGATTCATCATGTACTGCAGGAAAGGGAGGTGCAAGTACTGTGCCATAGTAAAACATTAAGGATAAAACCTTCAAATCAGAATTAGTGACGTCGCAAGACACTTTGCTGATTGATAATGGCTAAGGAAGCAAGTTTTGAAGCTGTGAAGCGAGGGACGATTCAAAGCAGCCTAGGTGCTTCGCCGAGTGCTCTTGCCTCCGGGCTATGCCAGTAGTCCCGAGCCCTATTGCGTGTCAATAGTATATGTTTTGCTCGAGCGTTTTCTTTTGTCTTCAGGGAAGTCTCAGAAGCTATATTATGCCAACTGGTGGAAAGTGGAGGAGGTATCGCATATTCACATATTTGATATCTCCACGCAGGCAAGGTAAGCACTTCCAGAACGAAACTTTTCCCGGTGGTTCAGGGTTAGTACTATTTCAGTTGTTGATATCCTTCTTGCAGATCACGGGACTGGAGTAGTTGCCAAGGGCAGACGTCCTTTTCAAACCTTCTGTTAGGGGTCGTCACCGTCCGCAGCATATGCACTTCTTCCGCCCCAATAAGGTTTATGACCCAGCGGTAGACATCAGGATAGATATCTTTTAAGCTCGGGTTTGCTTTCTGCTGCCACCAATATACCACCCAAAACTTCAGTTAATACGTAAGAAGACAACACCGAGGCAGAACACATAT